TCCTGTGTTTAGTTCTGGAATATTCAGATCTGCGTTTTTGTTACCAAAAAAGGAATGATCTGCATTATCTATTTCTGGTAAATCGTCGGACTGAATTGGCTAATCACAATGAAAGCCCACTATTTGGGGGGTTTTAATGATACCACGTGAAATTTGGGTTTTATTCGCGAACGTCATACGTGTACCCATCAATAATTATAATATCATTACGATTTAAAAGACTGGTTAAAATATGACAACGGCTACTTGCGCACAAATGAGCCTACTTTCAGAGCCTTTATGCCCCAAAGCCATATTTTGGACAAACCTTATTTTATTGGGGTTCAACCCTTCAGAGCTCGCAAAAGGCACATATTCAACAGTCACCTTTGATAAAGATGTCTTCACTAAAGGCTCACCTAATTCAGTGAAAGCAATGGAATTGATAGTATGGTTTTTATTTAAAAAATTGGACGACTCGTTGACTACGGCGGTAATTTGAAAGAATATTTAGCATATACGAACTTTATTTAAATAAAATTTATAAAAAACAAGAATAACTTTTATAGAAATTCACCTGTTGGCCAATTCTTGATTTACCATCAAGTTTGCAATTTCGGACAGTAGCGTACAAATGGTTAGATCAATTGAAAAAAGATGGATACCTTGGAAATACGGATATTGTTTTGAGACGTACATTGTTTGATGAATGTCAAGGCGAAAGGTGAATAAAATGAGAATCACAAATGGTAGACTCCTTAAGGTCGGGCATAGTCCTTTAATTCGAACAATTATAAATAGATTCGAGCGGTTAATAATGGCCTTTTCGAATCACGTCTTAAAAGTAACAATGGATAGAGATTACCAACATTACAATCGAGGTAATTGATTTGTTTATAGCAATTATTATAAAACAAGAAACAAAATCTAATATATTTTTCATGTTTCTAAAGTACCGAAAATTGGATTCACGGAACTTAAAGAATCGGCACCGGAATTATTGAAAGGGATTCTAAAGGTATTCAAGATAATAAGCATGAATGGAGGATTAATGATTATTTGTTATCAAAGTAAATTTTGATTAATTTTTGAATAGATATATATAAAAATGCAAACAGATAACTTTTTGCACAAGACTAGAGAACGTGCGGCCTGCCAGAGTCGATGGAAAAATTTGGCAGAGAAACTTTCGAGTCATTTATATGATGTTATAGACCGAAATGTACTTTATATAAATTTACAGTGTTTTTGCACTTTATTTGTAATTTGACTAGGTTTATTTATTTATTGAATTATTTTAGAATGAATTAGAGAAACGTATTCATGAATTTCATAAGGGAAAACATATTAATGGACGTGAAAAAGTGACAGTAGAACAACTTTCTTTTAAGAGAATTAAACAACTCGAAGATGCACGCTTTATTTGGAATTCATGTTTGAGTTGGATACGAGAAAATCAAAATAATATCGGTGATTATGATAGTTATTTTCGCATTTTTTTTTCGATGATTTTCAATACTATTCCAATATTTATAAAAACCGTTTTTACTGAGTAGTGAGTATTGAGGATGTCATCAACGATCGAGCAAATAAATATCGACTTAATGGACAGGATATTTCATTGCAAGTTCCGGAAATTATGATGAATATGTGGGAAGACCAATTCCAAAAAGTAAATTTTTTACACGTTTGACTTGTTATGCCAGCAGTTAAACACATATTACTAATAATTTCGCTCGTACTCTAAGGAACGAATTAGTCCTTGGCAATGCGGAAGATTAGATTTAATATCTTTATTGAAATTATGGAGGTTTGCACTTCAAACTTTGAACGATAAAATTACCAAACCAAAAACTATACAACATCAAGACCTAGAAAGTGAATCGCTTTCGTCCACAATTAAAAAACTAGAGGAACATCTGATAGAACAAAAGAGACAAATCAAAAGCCTATCTATGCTCAATAATTCATTAAGAATGCGCTTAAATGAAATTAACGAATCTGTTAGATTATTAAAAAATGATCAAAAATAAAAAGTTCTAGATTACACTACCCTTTCAGACATTCATCTGATTTGGTGTCACTATTAAACTATCTACTGCTACGTTTTTAATTACTAAATGAATTTTAGAATGCTATCATCACAAAATGTAGTAGAGATGTCGAAGTGTAAGCGCATATTGTAAGTGGGAATGAAGTTCAGATGAATTTGTCTCTAAAAGGACCTTGTACGTACTGTCTGTACATATATATATATATATATATATATATATATAGTATACAAATTATATATGTTATATAAATCTATACTTAAGCCTACCTTAGTACGTATTACGCATCATTAAATTCTACGTAAGTTTGACAAGTTCACTTACGTGAAGTTAATAATTTAAATAATTCCGTAGGTATATTTCAACTAGGGATGGACGATTATACGATACCGTATAATAACGATAAAAATGGTATAATAACCGTATAATTGGTATAGTATAATTATTAAATTTCCATATTAACCAATAGAAATCTAGATGAAATTTCGAATGAGCGAACACGTGACAAATCTATATGTACTGTAATTATAACCTAATTTCAACTAATCGCACATTGCATACGTACATAATGATAATTCATGGTAAATCTTTTCATTTACAGATTTAGTAAAAGTTACGATTGTCATGATTACGTAGGAAGATACGTACGTACGTACAAACCTATTTTATCAATATAATGAATGATACGTAAATGATATCGATATAATTTATTCGAATAGTAAATTCTTTATACGTACGTACGCACAACTTGCGTGTATAAATCTTTTAACATTTCTAGTTATGATCACTCAATCATCATAAAAAAATGAACCATAATAATAATAATAATAATATATCATTTATATGAAGCTTTTCGTTAGAGCATGTACCGTATTTTCTCCAAAATAAGCTATCATTGTTGGCAGAAAAATTGCACGAAAATTTTGAAAGTAGCTTATTTTCGAAACGTTAGTTTTGAAAATCAAGTATACTAATAAAAAGTCATAAAAATTTCAAAAAAAAAAAAAATTTTCAAGATATAAGTTATATATAATGATGTTCTGAACGACTTTACTCAAAAACGAGAAGTGGCTTACTTTGGGGGTAATTTATTATGGGAAAGTATGATAAGAATTTAACCCATTCAGCAATTTGCTGACAATTGTTTCATAAATTAGGGATTGAATCCGGGTAAAAATTGTTATTATATGGTTACCCTAAATACTGTATACTGTATAATAATTTCTAAAGCTCTAATCACTCAATTTAATTCTAAAATACAAACCAGTTTAAGGAATTTATAGAATCTGGAAGGCGGCCTTGCATTGTTATTTTAACGTACGTACGTAACAATAAATTACCATAATTTTTTGTTAAATTTGATTAGTCAGAATTTAGAATTTGCTGGTTGCTAACGCTAAGTACAAAAGCAGACCCATACATTTATTAGTATAATACATAATACGTTACGGTATTATTATCGTTACGTAATCATTTGTGTTAAAAATAGAAAGGTACATACACGTAAGTACGCAGGCACGTACGTACGTACGTACGTAATTTATTTTTCGCTACATAGCTAAATAAGATATAAATAAGGCCAACCCAAGTTAAAATATCAACATTTTTTCTTATCAATCTTTTATTTTTTTTTTTCAAGTATGGAACTTTTAGACATAGGCAAACATTGCGCAAATCCTGATTGCAAACAACTGGATTATCTACCCATTAAATGTCAATATTGTAAAAAAGATTTTTGCTCCGACCATTCAAAGCCTACTGAACATAGTTGTAAGGATGCACCTGTTGGAGATGGTGAGCGAGTTCCTATTTGTCCCTTGTGCCAGACACCTGTCCCAATTAAGAGAGGCGAAAATCCTAATCTTAGAGTAAGTTTCAATTTGTTTAAACATCCCTGTGCGAAATACGGTTCTTTTTTTTATTAAAAACAAATAAAAAATATCCATAGGTTCTTCTATATTAATATCATTTTTCTTTTATTTCAGATGGATCAGCATATAGCAAATGGTTGTAAGCCACCACCCACTTCTATTTCAACAAAGCCATTCAATTCATGTTCTTTTGGTAAATGTAAAGAAAGACTTGCTGTTCGTATGATGTGTTCAGGATGTGGCAAAAATTATTGTATAAAACATCGTTTAGGACCCGATCATATGTGTGATAAGGTGAAGGTGGACAATAAAATAAATACCGTTTCTAAACTTGGAGCCATTATAACATCGAATAGTTCTCCGGTCAAAGCTTGGGTTGGAAAGATGTTTAAGTACTGAATTTGCGAAAATTGGTACGTACGAACGTACGTACTCGGTGACCAAATCCAAAACTATTATAATTTGAGGTTGTTCACGCCTAAATCCTAATTTCTGGCAAAATTAATCTCTCAAAAAACTTTATAAAATATATTCTTTTACAAATATATAGAATATATTTGTAAAATATCATTATTCATTTTTTTTCATTTAATTTTTCACAAATAGCATTTGTTTTTTTGAGATTTGAAATTTGTTCGGCAATTATAAATAACTATCAGCTATATCGATACTATAGATTTTATAAACTTTATACATATTTCTCATTGATGAGAATTAATTTCAATAAACAAATTATTCATATTGCATTTTTTTTTTTTTTATACGTATTTTTGTAATAAAATTTATTTCATTAATAGAATTGTTATATAAATTTTTTTTTTTTTTTTTTTTGAGAGTGTGACCTGGTTCTGTTTTTTTATTGATAACGTTTGCATATGACTATATACAATTGAATATCAATATTTCCTATTTTTGATATTAGGTTATCTAAAAACTTATAACTAGGGATAGGAATCGGCTATATGATTTAGTCGACTAAATCGACTAAACATAGTAATTTATATATATATTTTTTTAGTCGACTAAATCGATTCCTATCCCTACTTATAACTACCCTCCGCCTAGGCTCTATTAAGGGAATGCTCCAAGGCCTCACCTAGATTGTGTTTGTGTTATTTGGTTAATTTATATTTTGAGTAGGGTTAGTATGTGTATTTTGTTATAGGTTTGTATTGCTTGTATTTGGGTTATTATTTTGCAGTGGTTTGTCTAGATTTAATTGTTTGAGTTTATGTTTAATATGTTTGTTACGAGGCCTTGGATTAGAAAAGTCCCAGCGTTACCAACAATCGAGGGCGCAGTCACATGATCTTCCGACACGATCAGCCAATAATAAGTCAC